CAGTCATGGTTTTCCCTTTAGATTAAAAGACAGATTTACATGTAAAAGTTGGTGCATATAGTGTGATGGGGAATGAACACATGAACACAAGCAAGAATGCAAGTAATATTTCTAAATTTAGTTTTTGTGGATACTGCCAAATTTAGATGGTAAAACCTTTCTTCTTTACTTCGGATTTATTTTTTGTCTTAAAAAGGATATATGCTTTCAAAAGAAAAATTTGGCAATTTGGCATTACAATAAAGGAGGAAACAAGAATAATTTTTAAAAAATTGTTTAGTTATTCCAATAATAAATCCAACATTTGTCAATTTTTTTCTTTGAACACACAGACAATTTTATTATGTGTATTATAGTCTAATTTTACAAATCTTTAAACAATGCTTTGAAATTTTAAAAAGTAATCACAGAATAGTATTTAACTAATAATTATTGTGAAAGTTCAAATTCAATGGATAAAATTCTAAAAGATTGCACAGTATTCTAAAAGTGAGCATACAAAATACGACATAAATTCATAGCTTGCCATATAGGGGACCAGGCAAAGTGGTCTGTAATCTCAGCACCTCGGGAGGCCAAGGCAGGGAGGATCGCTTGAGGTCAGGAGTTTCAGATCAGCCTAGTCAATATAGAAAGACCCTGTCTTTACAAAGAATTAAAAAAAAAAAATTAGCAAGGCATGGTAGCGTGTGCCTGTAGTCCCAGTTACTCAGGAGGCTGAGGCAGGAGGATCACTTGAGCCTGGGAGGTTAAGGCTACAGTAAGCCATGTTTGCATCACTGCGCTCTAGTCTGAACAACAGAGTGAGACCCTGTCAAAAAAAAAAAAAAAAAAGGAAAGAAAGAAGAAATTTAATAAGGATTTCTTGAACAAGTGAACGTGTGTGTGTGTGTATATATAGATGGATATGTGTAGATTACATATAGATATGCTAAGATCTATATATGTACATACATAATACTTAATCTCTACGTATATAAATACCTATACTTGGCTTAACTGGCTGGAAAGAGACCCCAAAATACACCAAAGTCGTCTATGGGATTCCCTAATCTGATACTGTTACATAATAATAGTAACCATTTGTAGGTACTGATTTCTGTACACAGTACCATATAGATATAAATCCTATTTATATAACAACCAAGAAAAATATGCATAATTATCTCTACTTTACAGATGATGAAATGAAGACTTAGAAAATTAAGTCCAGGAGCACTTTCTCACGCCTATAATCCCAGCATTTTGGGTGGCAGAGGCGGGTGGATCATGAGGTCAGGATTTCAAGTCCAGCCTGACCAACACGGAGAAACCCCGTCTCTACTAAAAATACAAAAAATTATCCAGGCAAGGGGCAGGCGCGTGTAATCCCAGCTACTCGGGAGGCTGAGGCAGAGAATTGCCTGAACCCGGGAGGTGGAGGTTGCAGTGAGCTGAGATGGCGCCACTGCACTCCAGCCTGGGTGACCGAGCGGGACTCCCTCTCAAAAATAAAAGATAATTTGCTGGGCGCGGAGGCTCACACCTGTAATCCCAGAACTCTGAGAGGCCGAGGCGGGCGGATCACGAGGTCAGGAGATCGAGACCATCCTGGAAACCCCGTCTCTACTAAAAAATACAAAAAAATTAGCCAGTTGTGGTTGCGGGCACCTGTAGTCCCAGCTACTTGGAGGCTGAGGCAAGAGAATGGCGTGAACCCGGGAGGTGGAGCTTGCAGTGAGCGGAGATCACGCCACTGTACTCCAGCCTGGGCGACAGAGAGAGACTCAGTCTCAAAAAAAAAAAAAAAAGATAAGATAATTTAGGTGACTTGCAGATCTGCAGAAATTCATGCAGGTAGTAAGTAGCTGAATTTGAAACAAGTTCTATTTGATTCCAAAACCTTCCACTTTTCATTGATGCCCCTGGTATAAGAAAAATTAATTGAAATAATATGTTGGAATCTTCCAAATAGGAGAGTAGTGTAAGATAATATTTTCTCTATTAATCTATCTTTATTATAACATTTCTTAAATGAAATTTAGATTGCTCTTTTTGACCTTTCACACATTTACAAAGGTGAAAACAAACTGGTCTTTATGGAATTGACCAGTTCTTGAATTTATTACTTTGTGACTACATCCAACAGTTGCAAGGAGTGATATCAAACTTTGATTTCTGAATCTTGATAGTTTAACAAAAGATTAGATACTATTGTATTAAAAACCTATAATGGGCTGGATGAGGTGGCTTACACCTGTAATCCCAGCACTTTGGGAAGCCAAGGCGGGTGGACCACTTAAGCCCAGGAGTTCAAGCCCAGCCTAGGCAACATGGTGAAACCCTATCTCTACAAAAATTACAAATATTAGCCAGGCATGGTGGTGTGTGCCTGCAATGCCAGCTACTTGGGAGGTTGAGGTGGGCAGGTCACTTGAGCCTTGGGAAGTCAAGGTTGCAGTGAGCTGTGACTGCGCCACTGAACTCCAGCCTGGGTGACAGAGTAAGACCCTGTCTTAAAAAAACAAAAAAGCAAACCACATATAATGAGTGAAATTAAATTCTCTTACTAGCCAAACTAAGGGACCTATTCATAATAACATCTGTGGATTTATTCTTTTATAAATTAATGACAGAGATGCCTTTTATAGAAGGAATTGTTTTGTAAATTGTCAATAAAGTAAGGGTATAATTTTCTGATTTTTTTTTTTTTTTTGGTTGGAAATATACCCTCTGCTAAACCACTCTGGTCTGCGTATCACTTTAAAAAGCAGATTTCTCTGTTCATACAATAACCAAGACAGGTGTTCATAATCGTCTTCATTTAACAGATGAGTAAATGGAAGTTTAGCAAGTTTATAACTTGTAGAAATCCACACAGGTAGTAAGTTGTTGAATTTTAACAAACTCTATTTTATTCCAAAGCTTTCCACTTTGTATCAGTGGAAGCAAAGTGATTTCATTTTAGATATCCTTGAAATACAATAAATTGCACTTTTTTTTCCAGTTTTTAAAACTTATTCTTTTTTTTTCTTTGAGAGGGAGTCTAAATCTGTCGCCCAGGCTGGAGTGCAGTGGTGAGATCTCAGCTCACTGCAACCTTTGCCTCCTGGGTTCAAACAATTCTCCTGCCTCAGCCTCCTGAGTAGCTGGGATTACAGGCGCGTGCAACAGGCCCGGCTAATTTTTGTATTTTTAGTAGAGACGGGGTTTTACCATGTTGGCCAGGGTGGTCTCGATTTCTTGACCTTGTGATCTGTCTGCCTCAGCCTCCCAAAGTGCTGGGATTACAGGTGTGAGCCATTGTGCCTGGCGCACTTTTTTAATTTTAATTTTAATTTTTTTTGAGACAGAATCTTGGTCTGTCGTCCCGGCTGGAGTGCAGTGGTATGATCTCAGCTCACACCAACCTCTACCTTCTGGGTTCCAGTGATTCTCCTGCCTCAGCCTCTTTGGTAGCTGGGATTACAGGTGCCCGTTACTAGGCCTGGCTAATTTTTGTATTTTTAGTAGAGACAAGGTTTCATCATATTGGCCAGGCTGGTCTTGAACTCCTGACCTCAAGTGATCTGCTGCCTTGGCCTCCCAAAGCGCTGGGATTACAGGCATGAGCCACCGCGCCTGGCCTTAAATTGCACATTTTAAAAGTATATAATTTGTTAGGTTTGACGTATGTGTATTTACTTGAGATCGCCGCATACTTATCATCCAACAGTTTTTCATGCCCTTATATAGTCTCTTCCTCTTACCCTTTTCCCTTTCCTCTCTACCCTTTAGGCAATCTCTGATCCGTTTTTTGCTGCTATAGATGAGATTAATTTGTATTTTTTAGAATTTTATATAAATGGAAATTTATCGTATGTATTCTTTTTTGTTTACTTTCAGCATAATTATTTGAGATTCATTCTATGTTTTGAATCAGTTTATTCTGACAAACTGATTGAATGAATAGTTTATTCCTTTTTATTGTTGAAGTAGTGTTCCATTGTTATGTATTTACCACAATTTGTTTATCCATTCACTTAGTTGATAGACATTTAGGTTATCTCTAGTGTTTGGCTATTATAAATATAACTGCTATGAACATTCATGTATAAGTTGCCGTGTGGACATAAACGTCCTTTTCTTTTGGGTAAGCACCTAGGAATGGAATAGTTGGATCATGTTGTAGGTGTATATTTAACTCTCTAAGAAATTACCAAGCTGTGTTATGCAGTTGTATAATTTTACACTTCTACCAATAATACATGAGCGTTTACCAGTTTTTCTGTATCCTCCTCTACATGTTAAAAGGTCAGCCTTTTCAATTTTAGCTATTCTGATCTACTCGTCATTTAAAAATAATATTAACAAATTAAACAATCATAATTTTTGTGTGATGTCAATATTCAGAGTAGGGTAATGTTAGGTAAAAAAACATCTAAAGAATAGGCTGGGCATGGTGGCTCATGCCTGCAATCCTAGCAGTTTGGAAGGCCGAAGGTTCGAGACCATCCTGACCAACATGGAGAAACCCTGTTTCTACTAAAAATATAAAATTAGCCGGGCATGGTGGTGCATGCCTGTAATCCCAGCTACTCCGGAGGCTGAGGCAGGAGAATCACTTGAACCTGGCAGGTGGAGGTTCCCGTCAGCCAAGATCACGCCATTGCTCCAGCCTGGGCAACAAGAGTGAAAAGAAAAAAAAAAAAGTATAAACAATAAAGCTTTCCTTGACTCACAATTATATAATACTGTGACTGACAATTATATAATATTGTCATATTTTATAATGGCGCGAACTTTTATCTTTCTCCAACTAAAATCTTACTAAGTCAGATAAAGTATTATTTATCAATTTTCTTTTCATGGCTTAATACAGTTTTATAATTTTCTTATATAATTTTCTTAGTCTAATTTTAGGTATTTTGTATGTTTTTTGTTATGAATATATTTTATGTTTTATATTTTTAAAATGTTATTGTGTATAATAACACTATCTTATCTGGTCTCTTTGATAACTCATTTTTTTCAATGGCTTATCTATAGATTCACTTGCATTTTTCATGTAGGCAATCATTTTGTCTAAAAATGATATTTTTTTCTTTTCTTTTTCCTAATCCTATATCTCTTATTTCTTTTTATTTTACTTTGCATTGAAATTAAATGCTTTTGCTAAGGGAAAAATTATTAAAGTTATCTTATTAGTGCTCATTTTGGATCAAATAGCCGTGTAGTATGATGCCCTTCCAAGACATGAATTCTAATCTAAGCTGTTTATTATCTGCATAATCTTGAGCATGTAATTTATTTAACTGAGCCTCAATTTCCTCATCTGAGTAGAGGGATAATAAAAATATTCGCTAACCCACTATTAGGATGTTGTGAAGATCAAATGAAACAAAATATGTGAAAACAAGTTTTAAACTAGGATATGACATGCAGGAATTAAATTACATACTTATTATGGAGGAGCTATATTACATATGTTTCCTTGGGGTTATTTTAAGGAAGCTATTTTATCCTTAAATAAGTTTACAAATAATCATTAGCCAATGTAAGAACTATTTTTACTCAGTGATCAGTTCAGAGCCAGCTATAAAAAATTTAGCGTAAGAAATTAATATAAATAATGAGAAAATCATAACAGTTTGGGGTTTCAGCAAAATGGTGAAAATTTGAAAAAAAGTAAGTTATATTCATAAATGTATCATTATAAGTTAGAATGATTTTGAGAATAAGACAATGCCTTAGGTTAGAAATCAGGTCACATGAAAACCTAAAATATGAAATCTGGTTATTATAAATGACATATGTTGAACACAACGATCATCGTGTACTTATATTTTGGCAGTCTGTAGGAGTTCTACTCATAGCTAGACTGCATAAGTAGTTTTTTCTTTTTCTTTTTTTATAAGGAAACATGTATGTTGAAAAAATATAAAGTCACATACTATAGTTCAATGAATGAGTTAATACCGAATTACTCATCAGAATGGCCATCAATAAATTGTTCTGATCTTTGAAGTAAAACTTGCACTCTGATTCTTGAACATTCACTCTTCTTGATCAAAAGCAAACTAGTTATCAAAAGAAGAAAGAAAAACTAGGTCAAAAGGTGAAAAACAAAATGGGAAACAAACTGAAAGTATCTCTTTCTTAGCTCGTTAGTTAATTGTGTGGTGTCTTCCAAATCATATTTTAAATGTTTTTATTTATTGCAAGATGTCATCAATTATACTATTTTTCCATCAATTTGAACTCTTAACAGTGAACTCAATGTAATTCTTGCCACTCAGAATCTACCCAGATTTTATAAATTATTTACCCATTACTATGATATGTTCATGCAACATGAATAAAATAATTGAACACTAATTTTAAAATTAGGCACATACACCCAATTCCGTGGTAGATAGTGTTCAAGCAAATAGCGTGTAATTTGGTCCTTGAGGGCTAGAAACTCTAAATATTTCCTAAGTTTGAGTTACTTTTGACTTTTTCAAAGTGAATATGAGTCAATGTGTGTTACAGGAGGAGAAGAAAGAAAAGAGAAATCAGGAAGGTGTGCTGACAGGGAAGTCATCGCTCATGGAGATGAGTGTGGCTACCAGCTGTACTGTCTCGAGTTTGAGCTATGGAGAATGGTGTGTACACATGACTTGGATGTTGAGCTTAAGGTTTCCAGATTAATTGGTAGATTGAGGACACTTGCTGAAGAATGTTGTTTTGGAAGATCCTAAACAAGGAATCCCCGTAATTAAACTATGAAATCCTGTATAGTTTCAATCTTTTCTATTGTTTCTTCCAATTATTTTCACAAGACTTTTCTCAGTCTTTCATTTACCTTATTTCTACCATCTATTGGCTTTCATCCACATCTCTTGTTTCTTTGATGATTTTTGCATATTGTCCAGAGTTTTCTTCTTTATTTTGCACTCTCATTATCTCTGTGTTTACCTCATACAAAAATAGACTTAAATTTTCTAGATTACTTAAATTTGGCTAAGTTGTGTCTTCAGTTCATTTCAGCCATGGATTAACCACCATAATCCCTTAGATCATGTCAACATTTAGAACATCTGAATATCTTAAACTAGCAACTTCCCCCATCATAATCTCCTTGGTTTCATTCCTCTGACTCCTTCACTTCTTCTACCACCTTATAGCTTCTGAAAGTATTTGTTCCTCTCATTGCGACTTTTGATTCTTTGAATACTTAGTTGTCTCTTAATATATTTCCTGTTCTATACCTTACCATTCTGTCTGTGCAGAATATTCTCCACCTATTGAAATATTCTTCAGCAGCCACGGATCATTCTGAACGTCATTTACCTGAAGCATTCTCTGATCTTACCAGTTACAATAGAAAAAATACAACTTTACACCTATTAGGTGTTTTTCCCTATAATATTTTATTTTATCAAAACAACCTTGTGAATTATATTTCATCTATTTTATAGGAAGTTAGTAAATGGCAGAGAGGGATCTATGAGTAAGGTTTTATTCCTTATTCAGTGGTCTTTCCGCTACCTCAGTGTGTCAGAAGCAAAGCCTCAGAATTCATTTAGTACATCATTTGCATTGATCGATGACACAATCGATATTGGTTTATAATGTTGCTATTTTTACACCTGTAAGAATGCCTGCTTTTATTTTGTAAGCTTGAGATAATGTCTTAATTTCTTTTAGAGTCTCAAGTGTCTGGCCCAGTGCCTTAAACACAGAATGTGCTCAATATATATTTGTTGAATAGATGAACAAATTAATTATGGGATAGTACAAAAGATAGAGTGTTGGAAGCCAGAGCCAGGATGCAGAGCAACATGCTTAGCACAATACTATTTTGTAAGTAAAACAATTAAGGCTTAAAGAGGGCAAAAGGTTTCTTAGGGTCATGTCACAAATTAGGAACAGAATTAAAAAGAAAATGCAGAGGCCCTGAGGTTCCACTCTGCTGCTTAGTCACTGAATCTTCTTTTCAGCTTTCAGTCATGGCTCTCCCTCTAGATTGAAAGAAAGACTCGCTTATGGAAAATGGTGCATGTAGTGTGACGGGGAATGAGAGTCTGGCCCCATGACATTTCCATACACCCTTAACAAGATCAGCTATGTGCAGCATCTTATCAGTTTTTCCCATTTCATGATCTTTCAGGTTAAAGTACAGTCTTCAATTTATTCCCATAACTATAGGGATGTTATGAAGATTAGAGATGCAAGACACATAATATCCTGTAAGCTTCATAGCAGAAAGGTATTACATAAATACAAAGCATGATTATTTCTGCCATCAGCAACAAGACTGGGTTTACCAACACATAGTTCACAGGCTACTGAGCCACCAGCAGATGATATACATTTTTTTTTCTCTACATGAATTAAAGTAGAAAAGATTTCCCTTGGGGTATTTGGACCATTTACCCCACTTAAGTGTTTTCTTTAGCTGGGGAGTTGGGAGGTGGGGGTGGTGTTCGTGTTAAAGGGAGATTGTTAGAAGTGGTATTCATTTCAGATTAAAACATGCATAGACAGCCAAACAGGAAAACTAGTACAAAAAAAATACAAAATGATAAGAATACGTGAAGAATCTGGTCTTGTTTGTACTTGTGTTTCTTGTGATGTTAGGTTTACTCTGAAACGAAGTATTATCAAATACATTGAGTTTGGTTGGACTAAAAAGAAAGATTATGAGGTCTTTTGGGAGAAACTTCTGCATCAATAGAGAAATGATAGAATTGAGAGTAGATTATAAGAAACATTTTATGCAGATAGTTTTGTGTGAAATCAGTGATATTACTTGATTTGTTATGATTCATAGTTCTCATGTCTGGAAGATATGTAATTCTACAACTTACAGATCAGACAATAATATTTAGTGTTGGAAAATGGAGAGCACTTTTGTTCTACTTCTGTTTTTAGTGCATATGTGGGTGTTCTGGCATTTTTATATTAACTAACTTTAAACATCTACTTCCTGATGACATAGAAGGAGGCTCCATGATACAAACGGTCCTAGAATTTACCATCAGGAAGACTGACACAATGTTAATTGGGAAAAGTGAAATATCACCTGAAAAGAATATACTCCTAAAGTCAGAACAGTAACTACTAAAATATCTCTATATACCCAGTTCATGTTCACAATAATTTGGGCTTATATTTACAGCTAACCAACTCTGGAATGCTAGTGGAAAAGTAAGTGTCTTACAGTCATTATCCCTTGGAGGGGTTACTGAGATTTTTCTATGGCAACTAAAAACTGGAAGAGTCTGTTTTGTACAGTTTCCAGGTTGATGTTAGACTCATTCCATCATGTGGAAATCTGAGATATCAATTGAATGCTTGTCTAATTACTGAAGGTGAACCACGGTTGTTTTCTGGGGAGAGTACCAGATTTGCTTCTCTTCCATAAGGAGGTAAGTGGGCCTTTCATAGAACGAGAATCTTGGATAGGCTCTTCAGGTACCACTACAATTGTAGCAGTTCTGCCTGTTCATCTGGAAGCCAAGAGATGTAGATACTTCTTCAAACAACAATAGGTGTTACCCTGTTATCCAGTCTGTCCTTATTTTTATGCAGCAGATAATGCCATTTGCATGGCATGTGTTAGATGATTTTTATGTTCTGCCTCTATTTGTTACTTGCATAATTCTACTGAAGAAACTAAGGCTCAGGGAAGTTAAATAAGTTGTTTGACCAAACATGGTGAAATTCAGATTTCTTATTCCAAACCCTGTGATTCCTTCCATGTGCTACCTTTATCTAAAGTCTGACTGTGAGAAGTAATTTTTGAGGGACATTAGTCCAAGGGCCTGTCCTTCATAAAATTTTGTGACTAATTCTTATGCTTTATTGCTGGATTCCAGTTTGAAGACAGAATGGCAATAAGATCCATCTACATTAACTTACACATGATGAAATTACTCTCCCTGCCTTTAGCTTTTACTGAAAAAAAAAAAAAAATCACAGAAAGCAGCAACATTCAGCCTATTTCTTTCTCAGAGGTCTTGGATTAAACCCCACAGGAGAATTTCCTTTAGAATTTGGAGTCTAAGTATCAGAAATTTTTGTGAGAAATTGATAAGCTTTCTACTTTCAATTAAAGAGAACTATGCCCCTTTACACATGTCTTTTTTGCAATGGAGGTTATGAACCTCAAAAATAAATTGGATATTTTGTAATATGAGTCATATAATGTTATTGCCTACAATATTCATTTCAGATCCTCTTTTTGGTGTTGTTTTTCTGATTTATGAAGTGTATTTTGCATGTTACTCATGTGAACCATCTCAATTCCTGTAAATAAATGAGTAAATACCTTTATGAAGAGAACAGAACTTAATCCTCCTTCTGCCTTTTGTCTACTTGTAATACGTTGAAGAGATGTGATATGCTATACGATGTGTCCTTTGATACAAGAGAATCTGAAGCCTAGGTAAAGACATTAGGGAGAATAACCACGTTGAAGACAAATAATGCAATTAAACTCATCCAGTGCTTTTTATTTAGCACAGGCTCTGTATTGGGTGGGCACTGTGGGGGTATTATAACAATTAGTATAAACATAAACATAGCCTCTGGATGTTCCAGTGTACATGCTAGAAAACAACAAAGAATGGCTATGAGTAACTTTATAGACAGATTAAAAACCTTAAAGAAACTGAAGAATCTTTTGAATGTTTTATTGTGACAGTGACATTTAAAAACTTTGAAACCATCTAAGATAACTTAAAGCTTTTATTCTTGAAACTATACAGGAATATCTTATCGATTCATTCTAATATGCAATTCACCTTGTGTTCTGATGTTCTTTATGCACAGCTTTTTTTTTTTAGTTCTGGGGTACATGTGCAGGATGTGCGGGTTTGTTACAGAGGTAAACATGTGCCATGGTGGTTTGCTCACCTATCAACCCATTACCTAGGTATTAAGCCCAGCATGCATCAGCTATTTTTCCTGATGCTCTCTCTCCTCTTGTACTCCCACCCCTCTCCAACAGGCTCCCAGTGTGTGCTATTCCCCTCCCTGTGTCCATATGTTCTCATTGTTCAGCTTCCACTTGTAAGTGAAAACATGTGGTGTTTGGTTTTCTGTTCCTGCGTTAGTTTGCTGAGGATAATAGATTCCAGCTCCATCCATGTCCCTGCAAAGGACATGATCTCTTTCATTTCTATGGATACATAGTATTCCATGGTATATATGTACCACATTTTGCTTATCCAGTCTATCACTGATGGGCATTTGGGCTGATTCCATGTCTTTGCTGTTTTGAATAGTGCTGCAGTGAACATATGTAGTGCTGCAGTGAACATATGGGTGCATTTTTTTTCTTTTTTGGAATAGAATGACTTATATTCCTTTGGGGATATACCCCAGTAATGGGATTGCTGGGTCAATTGCTGGTATTTTTGATTGTATATCTGGTCAAAAATTGCTGGTTTTGATTGCATATCTTTGAGAAATCACTACACTGTCTTCCCAATGGTTGAACAACTTTACATTCCCACCAACAGTGTAAAAGCATTCCTATCTCTGCAACTTCACCAGCATCTGTTGTTTCTTGGCTTTTTAATAATCACTGTTTTGACTGGAGTGAGGTGGAATCTCATTGTGGTTTTGATTTGCGTTTCTCTAATGATCAGTGATGGTGAGTTTTTTTATATTTCTTGGCCTCATAAATGTCTCTGTTCATGTCCTTCACCCACTTTTTAATGGGGTTGTTTGTGCTTTTATTTGTAAATTTGTTTAAGTTCCTTGTAGACTCTGGATATTAGACCATTATCAGATGGATACATTGCAAAAATTTTCTCCCATTCTGTAGGTTGTCTATTTGCTCGGATGATGGTTTATTTTGCTGTATGGAAGTTGTTTAGTTTAATTAGATCCTTATATTCAGTTTTTTATCCACAACACAGATCATAATGCTGTTCCATGAACAATAAGCTAAGCATAGGCAACTGCATTGATGTTGCAGCCTGTGGATTATGTGCCATTTTTGTCAGACCAGCCCACTCTCCTCTTCTCCATTTTAGAAAGTGGGTGGAGATGCAAGTGATTATGATATTATTTTAGGGATAATCTTGAATACGCTCTTATTTATATAAAATGTCAGTTACGTTCAGGCTAAAATCAAATTGTGACCACAGTATGTCAACAAAATTGCTTTGCTACACCAAAACAGGATAAAAATTAATAGGTTTTAATTTTGGTCCAGCTTCAAATTCTTAGTGCTTTACTGATATGAAAAATAGTTGATCACCATTTCTCTTACGGAGTTTTTACTTCCTTAAACTTAATTGTTTCAATATCTTTTAACCATTACTTATGTCTTATTTTTATGGCTAAACAACTCAATGCCTAGCTATGTGTTAGTAAACAATGGAAGACAAGAACCTGCTAGGATCTATGGACTTGTAAGTGTTCATTCTATTAATGTATTAGCTACAGAGATTGCATGCACAATCACTCCACGTAGGAGGCCAGGTCTTGTTTCACTTGACTTTATTGATAGTAAGAAAATCAATAAAGTGAAAATAAAGAAAAGATTGTGATTCTTGATCATATTATTTTGTTAATTTGACTAGACCTTTAACCTTCATGTGCTGCTTAAAATTTCTGGTATGGGTCTTTCTGAAATGTCTTAAAGAATATAACTAATATAAAATGTTATACATATTTGACAAGGCAAATAGGTATATGACTTTGGTTGGGCTTTTGGAAAAATTTTACCACAATAACAATAAAACACAGGAATTAACTACTACATTAAGCAGGATAGATTAGGTTATGCTATAGTAACAACCTCTAAATCTGGATAGTTTAAGACAACAAAGGTTTGTGTCTCTACATACTGATGCAGGTTGTTGTGGGTGGGAGGTGAGTCTGCTCAAATCACTCAGAGGCCTAGGCTGGCAGAGTCTCTATCAGCTTATGATGCTTATATTTCTACATGAGGCTTCAAGGTTTGCCATTGTAATAGTGGGAAATCATCATTGGCTTTTATATGAAGCTACCTGGAAGTGACATGTTACTTCTCACGTTTCATTTGCTGAATCAAGTGACGTGGTTATGAAAAACTTCAAGGAGCTTAATCCTGCAAGACAAGAAGGTGAAGAGTACAAGTAAGGTCTGTCGTTCGTATTGAGGTTGACTGTGGCATCTTTGTATGGCGATTTTAAAGAAAAATAGAAATCTATGTTTACATAATTTATGTATACTTTAAAATATTCTCATAAGTTTATTAATATGTCATTAGAGAAAAAAGAAAAATACAGTATTTAGATGTATTTTAAAAAAACTTTTTTCTATGTAATTATTATTATTTAGTATAGTGATTTTACAATTCTATGACTTGTTTTTGTAACTTAATGTTATAACAAAAAGAATATCTCTATAAGGCTAGATAGTCTTTATGATCACAATCTCCAGTGGTTGCATTAAATCATATTGAATGAGTATACTATAATTTACTTAAACATACCTCATCATTGGGCATATTCATTGTTTACTATTGCTAGTGATTTTGAATGCTGAAAGTTACAAAGTCTTCATCAATTATAGCTTCGAAATGTTTTACAGCTCATAAATATGTAAAACAGGGATAATAAGTCATATTTCAAATATTTGCTGTCAGATACATAATAAAGTTTTGTTTGTAAAAGGTCTGTAATAATTCCTGGAACAAATGTTTGTTTCCTACCCCTTAGATGATTTAACAAATGAAGTCTGTTCTTTACTCTTCATCCTCATTATTATTCTCACAACTTTGACTATATACTTTTCTATATGAAGGCCAGATTTCATCTGTAATTTCAGGATGCTCCTTACTCCAATATAGTCTTAGCCCAGTGGTTCTTAACTGGGGTAAATATTTCCCTCCAGGTGATAGTTGGTTGTGTCTGGAGACATTTTTTATTTTTACATGTGAAGTGTTGGGGAGATTGCTGCTAAAATCTTGTGGATGGAGACAATTGATCTGCCAAAACACACCACAATTCAAAGGACAACTCCATTAACCAACGAGGAATCATTTGGCCCGAAAGACTATTTTAATCGATTAAAATAAATGAGCATTTTCAGAGATAACATATACAATATCTGTATTATAGTTTCTTGTTTATGATACAGCAAAACAGTTCATTTGTCCTCTTGGGGAAATTTCATGATTTGTAAAAGTTTTGTTTTTAATTAAAGTGTATTATACAACATAGACTTTTTCTTCTTTATGTCAAGAAAGCATATAGAAATTTGCACTTTGAGATGTTACTGATTTCTTTTTATGGTATAGCATTTTGCTCCCATGTAAACATTTCCTGTGACATGAAAATGGATAGTTTTGTGCCCTGGAAAAGTCCATTATTATAGGTTGCTTATGGTTTTGACTCCTGAACTATGAAAAATGAGAGAAAACTCAGTTTGCTGAACAAACAGTTATAAACATTTGGTGCACCCCAAAGCTAAAGAGAGAAATAATTACTGCATCTGTTTTGAGATAGCCAGTTTGATTGTGGTCTCTTCCTTGTTTTGCATTTATTTTTTCATCAGCCAAGATGAAGTCTCACTGCAAGATTCTTAGATGTGGAACATACATTCTGGTCCTGGAGCTACCTAACTCTGAGTACACAAAGGTCAACATTAAGGAAAATAACAAACATGTTAATGATATATTCTCTAGCAATGTTTATGTGAGGAGCATATGCTTTCTTAATTCAATCTTTTGTAATCATAAAAAATCCACTTTCGTAAATAACATGAACTATATTTAAAAAAAACCTGAAAGTGAGCCACAAAAGACTGACTTTTTATGATTTTTCAAAAAACTTTTGACTTTTCTAAAGGATAAAATACTAAAAACAATTTACAAATTGACACTAAGTTCATATTAAAAACATGACTAAAAATAATACAAGAATAGTATTTGGCTTGGATTCAGTTTTAGGAGTTGTGTCATGTCAGACTGCATCAGGAGAACTTGAATTGTGTTGTCTAGGTGATACGGAGTTACCTAAACCATTTAATTATTTAAAACATTATTAGTTGAGGTTTTTGCTCTGAAGAAAGTGTCTATTTGTTTATGTTTGGAAACAGATGCTCTTTGGATTTTCTTTTATCATGAATATATGATAGTTCATACTAGTAGTTGATAACATTATTATTATTTAAAAACTTATTTTAGTTATTTTGATGCTTTTCACTGAACAGTTAGTAGTACTGCATGTAATTAAAAAAAACTTTCCAAATAAGATCTTAAGTATGATAGGGAAATATGTCAATATATTCATGAAAACATATAATTCCATTTGATGTAATAAGTGATGTGAAAACATAGAATTTCATTTTATGTGATAAGTGACTATATACATGTTCATTCTTTTTGTAAAAAAAGCCATTTTAATTATTCAGAGATACCAAGACTAATCAATTGTTATTTATCCTCATTTTAATAAAATTAGCTCTTGCACAAAGGTGCAAGAAATTATTAAATCCACATGTATATTAAAATTTAAGTTTCAAACTTAAGTTGCTAAACTGACTATACAAGAGGTGACTGTTTGAATACTTCTTTACAAGTAAAGCATGACTGAATTAAATCATCTGAGCCTAGAATTTAGTATAGTAATCAAGCAATTTTCCTTGATTGTATATACTAAATCATCTTGGGTTTTCTCTTACTTTAAAAACTTTAGTAGTAGGGCTAATAATTTCGTGTAAAAATGACTCGATTTAAATACTTATTTTTAATAGTAATTGCAGATAAAGTAATAAATATAAGTATATAAGATCTTTCCACTAATAATACTGTATGTTTTCAAGTAGGAAAGACAGAATCTTGTACTGTATCCCCAAAGGGTAAACTAAGGAGAAAAGGAAACTAAAAAGCATAAAGCATACAGCTTCTAGTTGCATGGGTCTTAAATTTTGAACACGTTAGCAGTAAAACTTTATTGTTACTACTGGAGGGATACTTAGGCTTGCATATGCTTTCTAAGCCAGGATCAAATGTAACATAAAGTTTTGTATAATTTTTTTTCTTATACTTTGAGTTGCACCTGGATGTAAATAGCTCGCTAGAATAGACTAATGATATGCTTGGAGTATGCCTCGCTAGAATAGACTAATGATATGCCAACAGCCATGGAGTAAGCTCCTCTCCCTGCCTGGGTTCTCCAGTGAACTTTTAAACCATTGGCTTTTAATTCAGGAACACACTCCAAGGAGCTTGTCCTCTGTTCTTTATTGCATTCCAGGGGCAGCTCCACCAAACTACATCATCGTCACTTAGCACAGCACTTACTCTCTCTAATAAAAAAAACGGCTCCAGGTGCTATACTGGATGGATTATTATCAACAGAGGACTCCAAAATTTGGTTTATGCCCTACTCTTTCAAGATGCAAGGCAGGCTGAAGTCTCAGATGTGTTTTCTGCATACTAACGTGACAACTGAAAAAAAATCTGGCCTGATGCATGAAGACAGTAAGTAGAGAACTGTACTGTGACCTATCATTCTATGTTGTTGACTTAGGAAACGATTTCAGGAGAAACAGATAGTTACTAAGGTCCTTTGCGAAAATGACATCTAAGACAAATGGTTGAGAAAGAGAAAAAGAGAAACAGTAACAATGAGAGTGAGAGAAATGCCAACAGGATCAACAGGATTAAGGACACGATTCCTTACATATAATAACTACCTTCAAAAAGGAGTCAAGAAGTACCTTAATTCTTCTTTCTAGAAAGAGAGACAAAAACGTAAGAAAAGATCTCGATGATGGGATCCGTATCCCCATCCAAGATAATTTAAGAAAAGTATTTTAATACTTGGTGTAAAATCCTGGTAGATTAGGCAGTGAATAGTTGTTTTACATACAAATCCGTGTCAAAACAGATTTTTGTGCACTTAATACTTCCTTTAAGTCAAAGACTAAGCTCTAAAATGGTGTATAGTGATGACTTGCTGCTGCCTCCTTTTCTCCCTTACCAGTCTTCTAATTCTTCTGGCTCTCACATGTTTATGTTTCATTAGCAGTAGGGGCCACATTATTCTCCACACGTAACCTGTTTTGTTTTGTTTTCTTTCTAATCTCTGTGGCTTTGTACATCACCTCTTCTATATCTAGATCTTTCACCCCTTTTTGTCTACTTAACGAAACTGATTATGAAGACTCAGATGAAGAGTCCGCTATCCTAGGAAGCCTTCCTTGGTCTTCTCACCTCCACTGAGCAAGTTTCTTTGTGCCCTTCACTTCTTGATTGTATTAAAATTTATTTTTCTTTGTCTTTCTATTTAACTATTAACTATTTAACTCTGACTTGCTTGACTACAGAAACTGGATTGAATACATCATTAAAACACATTTTTCTGCATATTCAGTAAATTATTTTGGACAGAATGAATAACTGAATTGTGTTAATAAGTTGTACATCTGTTTCTCAAAAAGATTAACTTGGACCATTTTATAAAGGAGAATATTTTGTTTCCCAGTTTTGCAGTAATTGTGAACTCCAATGCAAAGCCTTTAATTGCTGGCTAGGCAAAGCTAGGGTAAGAAAGATGTTCTTAGTAGACAGGGAGACATTGAAAAAACTGTTCTAACTGAACAAGAAAAGTTGGGACATACTGCAACAAACCATTCAGAAATTGTGAATTTCAATTCATTCAATACCTCTTAAAAATGTAGCTTCTGTCATTCATTTATCCATTCATGTATTTATTTTTGAGAACTTTTAATGAGCTAAGCACTATGTGAAGCTCTGGGAAAACAAGACTGGATATAGCACATATTTTGTCTCTGAGGGCTCACAATCTGGTCAAAAGTAATTTTATGGCTTGCAGACAGTCCTACTGGGATGAAAGCATTTGAGTGATGAGAATGCAGCTTAGCAATATAGAAAAATCTTCAAAGAGAAATAGACAACTTAAATTTGCAGACTGGACTGGAGTGGGTAGGGGACGTAGGATGGGAGAAGGTGGTGAGGCAGAAGTTTGATGCTGGGAGGGATAGGCAAGAGCTCAGATTCTTGTCATTTATTTCCCTGGAAAGAACTTTTGTGGAAGGAAGAGAATGAAAGCAGTGAAAAGAGCTGCCTGAGATTGATTATGGTGGTGAAGGTGGGAGGGTCACACCTTTGTTCCCTACAGGTTTGTGATACTGAGATGGACTAAGCCTCAGTGTCCTCATCTGTAAAGTGAGAATGATGTGAGAATGAGTAAAGTGTAAAATCTGTATGCAAAGGCAAAGCAAAGATCAGGCAAAATGCTGCTTCTTTTTTACACGCTGACTAAACTTGCTAAAGACGCTAATCTTATTAATGAAACCTCAGTCATTCATTTTAGCATGCTTTTGTGCACAGAGAATAAATGCTCTGAAATGCTCAAGTGGGTAATATTTGTCTCTAGCTGAGGTATATCTCACAGAAGACCCTCTGAGCTACGCAGAATAGGCAGAGATGGCTGTGCAAGGCTGCATTGAACTTTCCAACACAGCCATGCCTTCTCTTTTCTGTATTTGTAGCTTCAGGCCTTAACCTTTTATCATTATTTCAATGATGTTTTTGTGTTTAATTTAACTGTAAATCACATTAACAGAGTTTTGACTGGTATGTCAGAGGGCTTAAAAACTGAGTTAAAGTCTTTCTAAGAGCTAAAAAATTTGTCAGGTCTGACATGTTTAGTCAAGATGATCCAGTCAAGTGTGGAGATGTTGGAGAGATGGTGCAAGATGGGATTTAACTTGTTCAGGATTTAAGGAGTGGAAGTAGACTTGCAGTAGAGCTTTTGCTCCATATTAGCAATAGTTAAGAGGATAATTTATGGCTATTGTTAAGGATATTAACCAAGGCAAAAGTGCCCCTGTAAAGCAATTAATTATATATTACACTTAAGTTATTTTCTGAGGAATACGATCAAACCAGAACATTGCATAATTCAGGAAGCATTAATGAAATGCTACACTTACCTTGTATTGCATAAACATATTATGTTAATGAAAGACAGGTATTAAGTTTTTCTATATTTGGAAATCATATCTTTAGGAGTCAAAACTCTAATTTGTGAGGGTTTTACTTATAGACTTTCTTAAAACATTTTATCACAAAATTAGTAGATGTTTAAGCAAGAAAAATATACAATACAAAAATAAATTACCATTTGTTTTAATATTTTGATATATATATATTTACCCTTTTCTATGAATAATATTAGGATATCATAACTACTAAAACGGATTTCCTCTAAAATATCAGTGGCTCAACATGATATAATCTTATTTCTCTCTCAGGAGAGGACTGCCAGTGGTGGGATGGCATTTAGGTGGGGCAGTGCAGTGACACTCTGCTCAATGCAGTCATTCAGTGCAGTGCCATTAACGCCTCTTACTGGAGTTTCTTTGCCATTGACCTCCAGCCAGGAGGAAGAGAGAGGGGATGACAAGTGAGATGTTGACGTGTTTCAGACCATAAGATAGTGAATATAATTGCTCTTTATACTAGAAATGTAATTTGGCTATGTGCCCAGCCTGGAGAGGAAACAGGTTTAATGTGCACATTATTTTTTATGGTAGAGGAAATACGTATGTAAACAGGCTTATGTACTATACTTATTTTGTAATATTGTTTATTTGCTCAGCAATATATCTCAGTTTTTCCTTCTTATTTATATCATTGTTATTTGATTGTGTTACAATTTTAACTTAAGTCAATTTCTTGCTAAACGCTTTGGTTATTACCAGTTTTCATGAATATATGCAACAGACTGATGACTTCTCATACCTTTACATACCAGCATCGTTGCTTCCTTAAAAATTTTCCAAAAGTGGACTTGTTAAGTCGTAGGATATGTACTGTTGTACTGTTTTGTTGTTGTTGTTGTTTGTTTGTTTTTAAGGCATTTTTCTTTTTATTAATGGAATCTGTGGGTGGAAGCTGAAAGTTACGATTAGTATCCTTTATATTTTAGTGTGAATTAAAGCATTAAACATCAAGTACTTACTGAACACCTACTCAGTAAGTTGCTTGTGCTGTGAATTCAAGAAAAGTAACTAAGGCTGTTTTCATTAGAAAATGATATTATCCCATTTGACTCAGCAATCCCATTACTGGGTATATACCCAAGGGATTATAAATCATTCTATTTTAAAGAGACATGCATACGTATGTTTATTGCAGCACTGTTCACAACAGCAAAGACTTGGAACCAACCCAAATGCCCATCAATGACAGACTGGATAAAGAAAATGTGGCCCATATACACCATGGAATACTATGCAGCCATAAAAAGGATGAATTCTTGTCCTTTGGAGGGACATGGATGAAGCTGGAAACCACCATTCTCAGCAAACTAACCCAAGAACAGAAAACCAAACAGTGCATGTTCTCACTCATAAGTGGGAGTTAAACAATGGGAACAGATGGACACAGGGAGGAGGATATCATACACCAGGGCCTATCAGTGGGTGGGAGGCTAGGGGAAGGGATAGCATTAGGAGAAATACCTAATGTAGATAATGGGCTGATGGGTGCAGCAAACCACCATGGCACATGTATACCTATGTGACAAACCTGCACATTCTGCACACGTATCCCAGAACTTAAAATATAATAATAATAATAAAATGGTATTCTCTTCCAAATATTTAACATTAAAAGAGAGTTTCAGTTTCCTGCCTTTTCCTAATTCAGTAAGTGATGCATTGGTTTTTACTCTGGTCATAGAAGGAAATAAGGAGGCGTTAGGGTGTTTCTTAAAATTAAAAAAGATTAGGGGTACTTTATAACAAATACAAACGAAAAAATAAAGTATTTAAATTTATTCTTAAAAATTATTGTGAAAATGACTTAAGATTTCCAGGCAAAGGTAAATACATTATAAAATTAGGTAAAGGCAACTTAAAATCTGGAGAACAATAAACACTAGGTTTAAGAACACAGTGAGAGATGACCTTGTAATCATGCACTAGCTTGGGTTTCATGCATTTCTTGGATAAACAAGATATATAATAAAACCACTGTTGTCACACAAGCTATGAATTCCTCTGGTCAGTAGTAGCCAAAGACAATGTTAAATTTTGTTTAATTTTAAAGATTAAGAATACTTTTAAAGAGATATAAAATTGGAGGCATCATATGAACTTTCTAACTTTTCCTTATCATTTTGATAATCATTTTCAAATAGCTAAAGATCATTATATGTTCCTTTAGGAACATAATGTTTGAGGCTGGGCGTGGTGGCTCACACCTGTAGTCCCAGCACATTGGGAGGCCGGGGCAGGCAGATCACAAGGTCAAGAGATGGAGACCATCCTGGCCAACGTGGTTAAACCCCGTCGCTACCAAAAAGACAAAAATTAGCCAGGCATGGTGTCGAGTGCCTATAGTCCCAGCTACTCAGGAGTCAGCCGAAGGTCAGGAGTTCAAGACCAGCCTGGCCAACATGGTAAAACCCCATCTCTAAAAAAAAAAAAAAAAAAAAAAAAAAAAAGAAAAGAAAAGAAACACAATGTTTGGATATACTTTAAAACCACATAGATTGATTGTGTTTCACTGAAAATACATTTTTCCTTCTATTGTTTAAAATTATATTGAGGTTTATCTTTTCTTGTGAAATTATGCATTTCCCAGATTTATATTTGTTACCATATTTATGCCTTAAATGAAAAGAATTTTTGTAAAATTCATTAATTTTATTCTCATTTATTTTTCCATTATAAGAGATATCAATTTTTAGAGAAAAATAAGACCTTGAGGCTTGTTGAGATGTAGTGCCTGAAGAAAAAATATTTCCATAAAATAGAAATAAATAAAATCTGTAATTAGATACCTGAGTTATAGGTATGCATCTAGGCACTTCTATTTTACATGTACTTCTATAAACAAGTAATACATTTGCAGAAATTTGAAACTTTTCAGAAACCTACTCTAGTCTCTAAATACTTATAATGACCCTGTTCAAGCTAAAGTCATAATCGTTTTTTACACTAATAAGACATTCATGATAAAAGTTAAGATAATTATAAACACCATCTAAAAAAATCGCATGAAAAATGAATTCATTTTTCTTTTAAAGAATCTAAAACAAAATTTTCAATGTCTAAATTTGTCCTACAATTACTTGTTAACTTCAAGGAGTTTTCAAAAACGTATACTTACCTAAGGCTGTTTATTCAATGAATTCATCAAGCAGACATTGTGTGTGAGATACAAAACCCACTTTCCTTACGATTTCATAGTCTACTAGGGAAGATAGACAAGCAAACAGAAAACTACGGCTCAAAAAGATAAATGGTCTTGGGGAATTTCCAAGTATCCTGGGAACATAAAAAGGAGAATTGAACCTACAATACCAAAGAAGGATTCTTGAAGAAGGCCAGAGGTCAGAGATTACTTTATATTTGCATTGGTAATAGTCGTATTTTGAAGTATTTGATAATTTGTTAGTTTCGAACATTTCTGAGCTATCACCATTGATAAAGCCTCTTCGGACAGTCCAAAAAGGAATACGTGCAGGTCTTCAAGTTTCTGAGTAAGTGTTATGTAAAGCAGTGAAATATGTTCTATATCGAACCATAGGGGTCCTTTTAGCTTGTTATTTTTGACATCAATTATTATTGATGTTTCATCCTAAAACTTAAGAAAAATTATACCATATAAATATTCATGATTATGAGAATGTGCAAGAAGTTTTGGTTGCTTATGTCCAATCCTTTAGTTTATAAGTGATCACAAGGAAGCCCAAATAGACTTGAAGTTGCTTAGGTCAAGGTGGATTTGAAGGAATTAAATTAACCTGAGAGAATGTTAGAAAGAACCAGAAAATCTGGAAGTAACCTGCCATCAGAGTTGCCAGAGGTCAGGCAGACCTCTTTAGGAAGAGGGAGAGTGTCTGTAAAAGACTCCCAACAGCTGGGTTGTAAAAGGTACAGCTGGAGCAGTTGGAAGAGAAAATGGAAAGGCCTGAAACTGCAAAAGAATGAGGGTAAAATGAGATGTGCCTTGCTCAGAACAATAAGAGAAAGGCAGGAACAGCTGCAGGGTTGGGATCTGAGATGCATTGCAAACCCAGTTGCAGGGAAGGCCTGAATGAACAGCCATGTGAAATGCATATATATATGTGTGTGTATATATGTATGTGTATATGTATGAATATATATGTACGTATATGTAGAAGACAAATACTTAGGTAGAATTAGTATGCTTAGAAAGTGAAGTTGTTAGGAATGAACTGGCAACAATAAAGGTTAAAAGCTGAAGAGTATTGTAGTGACAAGTATTTTGATTACACTTTTAGGATAGCAACATACTGTAAATAACCAGCTAAGAAACGCTTAGAACTACACTGGCTACCCAAAACAATTATGTTCTGAGTTTGGCATATTGTAACTTCTTAATTGGGGCATTTAAAATATTCCCTAGTCTATTTATACATGGATTGATAGGAAATCCATTTAACTTGCTCTACAAATAGTTTTAAAATATTAAAACATGTCCATAATTTTGAGATATTTCTCATCATAATTATATAGGGTAGAGTAGCCAATTAATTTTTTCTTTCACTATTAACAATGAGCTTTTGTGAGACTGCTGCTTGGTGCAAGAGCCGCTGTCAGTCTTTGGGTTATTATAGTTGCTGATATGAATTTAAAATGAAAATAATATTAATCCGCCAAAACATCCTTTCTTCAAATTATGTAGCATTTGCCTCTTTTTTTTTTTTTTTGCACTGCATAATATAGCCTGGCAAAAAGTAAGTGTGATCTTAATTGTTAGACTTGTTTATTCCAGGGAGGAGCCAATGGAGCACTTATGGTAATTAACATATTTTGTCTGGTCTTCTCATTTTGTTAATGATATCTTATTGAAGGTTGAGCAGTAATTACTGCCCACTGAGGTACATGCGCTGAAACAAATTAATAGTCAATGACCAATAATGATTACACTTGTAATTATCTACTGCGAAATGTCAGAAAAATTGAAATTAAAAATAAAGCTATTTGAAGCTAACATTAAATTGTTTTGTTAAACTATGCTAAAATCATTTTAACAACTCAACAGAGAAATGATATACCACAACTTTATCATCACTTCCACCAGTTTTATATTAATTTACAAGAAAATTTATTTTTCC